CTAAAACTGACAAGTGGGAAAAGGAAAATCCTGAAGACAAATTATTTTACAGGCCTTACCAAGACGGGGCCATTACGTTATCAACAGCCGTCACATCCGACGAAAGCAAGGAAATTGATGTGATTGAAAGTCAGGAGGAAATTGACATTGAAACACAGGAGGAAACTGACGTTGAAACACAGGAAATAAATCTCGGAAAGTCATTGTTATTCGTTCACCAGACTGCATGGCAGAGACGCTTGCTTGCTAAGTATGGAAATGACCTTTGCCTTTTGGACGCAACGTACAAAACCACACGATTTGCTGTTCCGCTTTTTTTCTTGGTTGTAAAGACTAACGTTGATTACCAGGTTGTTGGTTCTTTTGTAACGCAAGGGGAGTCGAAAGATTGCGTCTTGGAAGGATTGAAAGTGCTTTCAAACTGGAACCCAAACTGGAAACCAGCTTGCTTTATGACAGATTTCAGCGAGGCAGAGATCAATGCTATCGAAGAAATATTCCCAGGTAATGTTGAACAAACTGAACACAAATTACACAACAGTCAGAGACTTTACGATTCCACCATACTCTACAGGGCGTATAAAAAAAAACTGAACAGATTTGAAATTCCTCTCAATTTCGCAAAATACCTATTTGTATCCGGTTTTTTATATATATAGCTTCTTTGGGTACTTGTGATGTAGAATAATGAAAAAAATTTCTCGAACTCAAATTTTGTGAACCAGGGGGATGTCTTTTCCAGCAAATGAAAAAGGGCTTGCGCACAAAATTTAAAAGCTGTAATCATATTTTGAGTTAATAGACGTAAAATTTGTCGGGTTTTTAATTACTGTACAAAATTTCAGACAATTTGGTTTAGTTTAAGCCCTTTAACTATTCACGCAAAGTTACATTTTTCCTAAAAATCAGCTATTTGCATGCTTAATTAATGCATTTGCCTAATTTGCATATGTCAGCAATATGCAAATTATGTAAAGGCATTAATTAAGCATGCGAAAGGCTGATATTTTAGAATAAAATGAGTAGTTAAAGGTCTGATGAATAGTTAAAGGTCTCTGAATTTTGTACAGTAATTAAAACCCCAACAAATTTTCCATCTATTAACTCGAAACATAATTACGACTTTTAAATTTTGTGCGCGAGCCATTTTTAGTTTGTTGGAAAAGACACACCCCCCTGGTTTACAAAATTTGAGTTTGAGAAATTTTTTTCATTATCAGTCTACATTATAAGTATCCAAAGACGCTATATATATTTCTCAAATTCATTAATAATTCATGAGTAATTCAGCCAATGATAATCACCTATTTGATCACAAGATGCCATTTGGATACTTGATGAAAGTCACTAGTGTTTTCATCAAATATCTTAATTACGCATGCAAAATTACTTGAATAGAATTCCTAATTACGTTATGTTTGGTTAAGAATTCTATTCAAATCAGCAAACGAAAACATTCTATTACGTCTCGATTCATTTGAGAAGCCATATAAACAACTCGAGCTCGTGTCTCACCGGGATATCCAAACACTCGAAAACAATGTATGAAAACACTCGCGCTTCGCGCTCGTGTTCTCATACATTGTTTTCTCGTGTTTGGATATCCCGGCGAAACACTCGCTCTCGTTGTTCATATATTACATCACAATTGTTGTAAAGATAAATAGTCTAGAAAAATATATTCTTTTAGCGGGGGCCCGGGTTGCGCCTACCCTGGGTTCAGAGGTTTTCTGGAGGCGACGAGGCGGAGAAAACCTCTGGGCGCGACCTTTCGAATTTCATTTCCATGACGTAATTTATTAATGTTTCATACTTCCGGTCTGAAGGGTGTAGTCCAGTACGTAGGCATATTCAAAAGTATTCAACAAAAACATATTCCCCTGACCAATTTTGTCGTGTTTGTCAATGTTACATTAATTGTTGTATTCGGAAGAGGAAAATGTAATATTTTCTCTGGGAAGATTTCCAGTAAACTGGCGCATCGGCTGTCTATTATGGACACAACGTGTCTCCAAATTTATACTGATGACAAATTGACAATCGGCAAATCTGTCTACTCTAAGCTAACCTGAAAATCAGGCCGTACTTTTTAGGGCATAGGCACGCCTGATCGCGGGCGAAGGGGAGAAAAGTACGGCCTGACACAAAAGCGGCATTTTGCCTGGTTATTCAGTCCAGAATCTGGACTGAGCGCTGATTGGCCGATTAG